GAAAGAGTGCTGAGAAGACCAAAAGCAACTGAAAAATATACACGTCTCTGCAGTTGTATTAAAAGAATTACTGAGGGTCAGAGCGTGTCAGATTTACCTCACATGCAAGCACCTCATGCACCTTAGTGGAATAAATTCTTCACTCAGTAGACAAAAATGGAAACTAGGTCAAATGAATACTAATCAGGGTTCAGACATTCTCCCAAGGCATTCTCATGCAGTTCACTTCAGGTAGACCTAAATATGCAATTTATGAATATTATTTACTATATATTGTTATTTATTACTATAATCATTATAACCTTTTCAGTTTTAATTGTCTGTACTTGATTATTTCTGCCAAAAATTTTAAAGGAGATTACATTCTTAACACTTTTTCCCCAAGACCAAATTCTATCCCTTAGGAAAAAATGATTCTGGGAAGACCAAATCATCCCAGGCTTTCCCCACTAGACACCATCCACCCCATCCTCCACTACCATCCCAACCCCTCAGAATAGTACTTACCACAGTGAGACTACCAGTAAAGGGCCTTATAATGGTAAGAATTACAGCTATACTCAAAGCATCGCTACTCCCTGATTGAACAAATTGCTTTACTTCATTGAGGCTTGGTTTCCCAATCTGTAAAATTGAGATAATTATCATACCTCACTTACAGTCATTGTAAAATTGTAATTAATAATGCAAGTAAAGCACTTAACAGTACCTGCAAAGTTCTGTTTAATAAATGATGGTTGGACAGATCATGATGATGATGATGATGCCAAACTAGAAATGAGGACAGGGACCACATCTGTTTTACTCTTGACGATATACACATATACACAGTGCCTGGCACACCGTCAGTATTCAGTATGTTATATTTGTTGGATGTGTGAATAAATGATCAACAGGCTTTGGGATAAGATTATATATATATATATATATATCCTAGTTCTTTGCTGGCTGTAGAATTGACCACATTATTTAACCTCTGTATGCCTCAGTTCCCTTAACTGTGAAAAGGGAAATTGTACCTTTCTCATGTGGGTTGGTTTAAAAGGGATGCATGAGATGGTTATAGTGGAAGCTCTTTGAGGGCAGGCACTCTGCCTTCTTCATGGTAAATACTGAACACTTAGTGCGTTGATACTCTTCCCCTTCTAAAACAGGCTTTAAAAATTCCTAGGGGATTAGGATGTCCCCCATGTCCAAAATCCAACAGAATCATAAAATGTTAATTTTAAAAGGACACATAAATTTGAAAAAACAACACCCTTGAGCATACATGTAAATAACCAGAACAGACCACAAAAGAAATTTAATCTTGAAAATGGTTGAGCACATGCTAAGCTGCCTTAAAATGAAGTTAATTTTCTGGCAAGTTTATTTTCTTGCATATCCAAGTAGATCTCAGAGCAATAATAGAGACCATGGTAGATAGCAATTTTGGACATTTCTGTTTGTCTCTAATAGGAGAATGCAATAAAAGAACTTAAATCTCTTAATCTTTTTATTTGTGTAACATTTTATAATTCACAAAGCATTTTCGCATAAGTTTTATCATCTGATCTTTATAACAACTCTGTGGAATGGTTGCCAGTTTATTTATCTCCAAACTGGGCCTTCTGGGGCATGAAAGTGGGAGGTATAGATAACTGTGACAGAACAAGCAGAATGAACCAAGAATGTCCAGGTTAAACTGGGAAGAATGATCATCCTGATTACAACACTCACCTTCCAATTAGGAAGTTTCTGGAAGAAAAGTATTATGTCTTCTTCATATCCCAATACCAGGAACAATACTTGACATAACACTAAGCATTCAATAAATGTCCACTGATTGAAAGAAGTGAAGTTTAGTCCCAAGCCCATCAGTCACTGGCCAAAGTCATAT